CCGGACAAAACCAAGCCACACACCCCAATCGGTGATGGTTTTCTGTTTCTTGAGCAAGGTGAATATGAAGTTATTCTCAGCAGCTGATTTTATTATAGCGAGGTCTCCTCCAAGCATCTGACATGTTCGTCGAGCATCGCTCCATTTCAGGGTTCGAATGTTGATGATGAGGTAACTGAAGTTTCCGTAGCGGACCCAACCATCTTGAGGGCAAACTGAAACTAGAACATATTTCGTTAGCATTATCACATTAAGCCTCGTGATATCAGCCACTCTCTTAATAAGAAGCCCGCAAATAATTTTGAAAATTTTGATGTAAGTGAACTACCTGTTGCGGTGGATTTCTCATAAAGAGAGTCGATTTTGTATTTCATCTGCTTTAAAATTTTTCGATCAGCGCTTCCAAAACCCCAGTTGTTGATGTTAAAGGTTTGGTCTATCGGTTGACGCGGTTTATCGCTTGTGTACGTCGCTGAGTTGAAAACAGCGCTTTGAGGGTTGTTTTTTGCAAAACTACTAGAAACAATGAGATAGGTAAGGAAAATGAAAACGAACTTCCATTTTCTGAACATCATAGTTAAATCAGTTCTTTGTTGGATCAAATGAAGCTAAGAGGTAGCCTTTATGTGTACACCTCGAGGATAAGCGTCTCTTTAATACTCGTGTTTGATGACTCATCAGAGTCATGGTGAACGTGATCGCTGACATATCATTAGGGAGCTTAAGTAGCGGACGTTCTTGAAATATGTCACAATATAAAAAGTGAGGAGTAAATCTGGGGCAAACCCGGTAAATGCCACGTGTACTAACTTTAATTTCAACCGACCCCGTGTCAGTTGCTATGCAATAATGGCATTACTGTTTTTGCCCCAGATTTACTCCTCTGTTTTTACATTTTTGCGACATTTTTGCCATTAGCGAATATTTGCAAATCCATTTTTTTGGTGATGCCTTCTCATATAGTCAAACCCCGTTAATACGGACACTGAGGGGGCCATAGAAAGGGTTCGTTTAAGCGGGCGGAGAGAATTTAAACGAATTTTCCTTAGGGTTAAAGCAAACTGTCCCACGGCCGTAATAACGAGTTGTCCGTATTAAGCGGGTGTCGGTAAAGCGCGGTTTGACTGTATTCTCTTAGTTAGAGTGGCTATGTCACGAGGCAAGGATATTGCAGACGATATCGAACAAAACTAAACACCACTATGAATTGGTGACTTTAGCGGAGGCCGTGGAAACTGGGACTAAGAATCTTTGCGTGATCGAAGTCACACATGTTTAGGAAAGGTTAAATTTAGGGCTTTCCGAAACGTGTCGGTCCACGAATTCTATCGCTTCAAAGCGTTGATTACTTTGGAACAAGTGAACACTACTGAGGGTGCCTTCGATTGGGAAATCTGGATTTAGATTTTAAAATCCGGATTTCGGATTTGCAATCGAACGCGAAATCCGAAAACGGATTTCAACGCTGAGATATCTGTTTTTGGATTTTCATTTTTACCGTTCGACTGGGAAATCCGCAAAAGGATTTGAAAAACTGTTCTTAAGAACAGCGGTCTTGCACGCACACGCATAATTAGCAAAAAGAAGAGCGCTGTTCACAAGAACAGTTTTGCAAATCCTTTTTCGGATTTCCCAATCGAACGGTAAAAAGGAAATCCATGAAATCCGGAAAATCTCTGAGGACGGATTTCTTGGAGGTGAAATCTGTTTTCGGATTTCGCGTTCGATTGCAAAATCCGAAATCCGGATTTCAAACTCTAAATCCGGATTTCCCAATCGAAGGCAACCTGAGTAGTTGAAAAAAGAAACTGCAAGACTGCGATGGTCGGGTGTTGTTAACTTTCATTGTATGCAAATAAGTCTTGTGGAGAGAATGCAGTTCATTTTCGACGATGATTGAATTGACGTGCCATGCAAATCACTTTTTTGATCTCGGGCAGTTATGTAAAATCGAGGCCCTTGAATTTTCGTGTACTCTTGTATAGTCTGCGACCGTAGACGTATTTCCGGTCGTTGCTAACACGTGTACTAAATCAATTCAGAAACAAAATAAAAAGTATCGACGTCGATAAAGTAGGAAGTAAAAAACCTTTAGCGAGTAAATAGTGTTTTGTGTAGAATTAATCGCCTCCTCATTTCTCGATTTAATCTCCAAGCAAGCGAGACCGGCAAGGGCCGTAAGCGCGTTCTTGTTGTAGTAAGCAACTCGTGTTAATAATCATGTTATCGTAGTGTCGCTACTGAGCTCCCTATTATCCTTCTATGTTTAGAAATAGTTATCTATCAACTGACAGACACACGATCCATTAGTTAAAGTCGCAAATAAAGATCATAAACGAAAGGACAGCATATTTTAGATGTTAACGCCATTTTATTTTTGATTTTAATTAACTGAATTTATTTTCAATCTAAAGCAGCTTCATTTGACGAACAACTCTCATGACAAAAAGTACGCACCCCATCCTTGCCCAAAATCGTTAGTTTTGATTTATGTCGTATTATTTAGTTTATTAAATGGCATTACATCAAAGTGCTCTACTTTATTTTGACTTAAGGGACACAAGTCACATAATTTGGTTATTCTTGCAAAGGATAACTGGGGCCACCTTCCAATAGTTTGCTGGGTCGAGATCACAAGATAAGTCGTTCCACTTGCCTCCTGCGCCTTTTGCCGAGCCAAACATGTTTCCACACTTTTCGCTCACGCTGTCTGGCTGGCGGCTTGCCCAAGCCGTGTAACCTTTCGCCAGAGGAGTGTCATTAATCCAGTAGAACTTGTTATCCGCCTTCCGGACAAAACCAAGCCACACACCCCAATCGGTGATGGTTTTCTGTTTCTTGAGCAAGGTGAATATGAAGTTATTCTCAGCAGCTGATTTTATTATAGCGAGGTCTC